GGAGAGACACTGACCTAAGGGGTTCAAATGGAGGTCCCGTCAGTGCCTGAAGCACCTTCGGGAGGTCCCACATTGGATACCTGTGGACCACAGAGGGGTGGAGGTTGGAAGACCCTTTTAAAAATCTACGGACTGATGGATGATGTTACAGGGAAGGAGAGGAATCCCAGGACACGACTGATGAGAGGGCTGCCACCTGGCAGTGCAGGGTGTGAGGAGCAAGTCCCTTTTCTAGCCCATCTTAAAGAGCAACACCTCAGCCACTGAAGCTGAAGTGGGATTAAGGTTTTCCCTCAAGCACCAGTCACAAAAAACTTTCCAGGTTGCATCACAGATGTGCGTCATAGAGGGCTTGCGGGAAGCCTGGATAGTGCAGATAACCCTATGAGGTACGTTGGCTTCCCTCACATGTTGCCGTTCAAGCACCACACAGTCAATTTGAACCATTGAGGATTTGGATGGATTGAGGCTCCCTGATGCGGGGAGATCCTGTTGGTTGGGATCCTCCACGGTGTGGCTACAGACAGGTTCACCAGATCTGCAAACCAGGGTCTCCTGGGCCAATGAGGGGCCAGGAGAATTAGCTCTGCCCATTCCTCCAACATCTTCCAAATGACTGCCGGAATGAAGGGAAGAGTGGGAATGGAGTAGAGGAGACCCTGGGGCCACCTGCTCTGAAGCGCATTGGTCCCCTCTGCTCCCTTGGAAGGAAATCTGGTGAAAAACCTGCTCACCTGAGCGTTTAGTAGAGCGTTTAGTGGAGTGACGAAAAGGTCCACTGCTAGAGCCCCAAATATTAGAGAAAGATCCCCGAATAGGGAAAGGTGGAGACTCCACTCTGCATGGTCGACCCTGCTCTAACTCAGCCAGTTGGCTTGGGTGTTGTTGACCCCAGAGATGTGGTCCGCCCTGATGGACAACAGGTGCCTCTCCGCTCACAGCCCTAGACATTCGGCTTCCCTCATCAGGGCCCTGGACCTGGTTCACCCGTCAGTTGATGTGCAGCCACATTGTCCGTCATCACCAACACGTGGGACCCTGCTACCAATGTCCTGAAATGTTTCAGTGCCAGAAAAATGGCTCTGAGCTCTAGGAAGTATATGGGGCAGACTTGTCCACCCGAGACCAACTCCCTTGGGCCATCTCGCTGGCCAGGTGGCTTCCCAACCCTGAAGACTGGCGAATGTGGTGAGCAGGAGTCTGTCCAGTTCCTTGAATAGATGGGCCCTCCAAAGAGCTGGAGATTGCCACCACCTGAATGAGCGGAGGGTCTGAGGGGGTACCCGGACCCTGGAGGAAGTATGACTGGTCCCTGCCTGTTGTAAAGGCAGCAGGAGAGACTTCCAGTGACGTTGTGTTGTGGCAGTGCAGGAGAAATCTGCTCTGATCTCCTGTGCCGGGTTTTTCACCTCTGGACAGCCATTCATGGTGGTATTGGGTCCTGGAGGGATCAACAAAGTGAGGAGAAACTCTTGGAGTCAATTCGGGAAGTTGCGATCCCGAAACATCAAAGAAGAGAGCCCGAAGTCTGAGGTGGAAGAAGTCGGCCCTTTGTGAGCAAACCCGGAGACGTGATGAGCTATCAAGAAAGGAAGCAGCGAGATGATAGTGAACAGATGATTGGCAAGTTAACGAGGTTGGAAATTCCCTTTGGATTATAATTGGAACAGATATCTGTGTACATCAAGGAAGCCCAGAGTGAAAGGGGTGAGGGTGGAAGTCAGCAGCAGAGATTTAGCTTACCACCCATAACAATGGGAAAACAGTGAAAACAAGAGAATAAGAGGAAACTTGAAGAAAAATTGGAGCAAGGTGAAAGAATTAAGAGGATACTCTTGAAGGATTTATTTCCCTTTGACGGTTTGGAATGAAAGTGCTAGGATTATTTGAACTGAGAAAAGTGATCCGATAGGAATCCAAGTAAAACTAGGAGTGACTGTGCAATTTTTGGAGACGGCCATTGAGAATGCTAAACTCTGGTAAACTGTTTTACTGTGAGTGGAAGAGACTGTGACTGAAAAAAGAACTGTCTTGAATTATAAGAACGTTGGAATATATTTTATTATCCTACAGTTATATATAGGAGAAATAATGTATTATATAACTGTATTTAGATTACCTATTTATTATCAGATTGCTTAGGATTTCTTTCTTTCCCTATATAGCTGTTCTTTTGGGGAGGGTTTTTTTGGAACTTTTATAATATAAAATCCTTATTGTAAGTATTTAAATTTTGTTATAATTAAGAGTTATAGATTGAAGATATTATATAGTAATTTGTTTAGATAATTTTAGCCAATCTTTATAAAAGGAAGTAGTAATTAATTCCACCACTCAACCTTCTTCCCATTGATTTATTGTGATCAAATAAAATTATTATAGTGTTTACTATAATTATATTATATATATTTCCCCCTTTTCTTTGACTATTAAGATCTAAAAATTGATAAATTGCATATCGATAGTGATATATTTTAGTGAAAGAGTAATCGTTAAACAAACTTAAATATTTCTTTGGGGTAGCAATAACTGAGAGATATTGAGTGATATTTGATTGTATTCATTGATAGTGATTGATATTGGTTAGTAATGTTTTGGTATTAATAATTAAGAGATTCTGATTATTAGAAACAAATTAACAACTTACTGTTAAATTAAGAATTAAATAATAGATATTAGCAGAATAATTGATAGTTAATATTAATTTGAGTAGGGATAGAAAATCATTTTAACCATTAATTGGGGAAATCAGAAACTCTTTATTTATGGTAATTTGGGATAATATATTTAGGATAACAGATGAACAATCTAAAATCATCAAAGATATGACAAGTATTACTACCACTAAGACCGGGAAAAAACCTGCAGCTAATCAATGGTGGCATTATCCAGTCCAGCAGCCTCTATTCAATGAACAATTCAAGGAATGTTGGCTCCTGAGAAATCAACTACACAACTAGTGCTCAATCAGTCCAAGCTTCCTTATTAGCAATCCAAGGTACGATGTTAATGTTACAAGAATCAATGTCTAAAAATCACATTGAAAGCAGGGCAGACTGGAAAACAATGAAAACTAAATTGAAAACAGAAATAAGGGAAATGAAAATTGAAATTAGGAACATGGACGAGAAAATAGGTCTGATCCAGGAATCAATTAAAAAGAACGAAGAAATGGTCAAGATAACTGAATAACAATCCAATCAAAATGAGAAAAAAATGGAACTCATGGACCAAAAAATCATGGGCCACAACAAAGAAACTGAAGAAGCCTTAATCTACCTCGAGATGGATAGAGCCTCTTACTACTTAATATTCCAAAATGTAGAGGAAGTTAAGGAGGAGGACTTAACATCGGTGATGGCCAAACTCTTAGCGCAATTTCTCCAAAGAGACAAGAATGACATAATAAATGAAATAGACATCTAACAGAGTTTATACTAATTATGCAAGACGGCATAGACTTTGTCGGGAGGTCCATATCAGATTTGCCAGGAGAAAAGTCAGAGACATAATGTATAAGATTTCAAGAGAGGAGACAATAAAATATAAAGACAGAGAAATAACTGTACTGAAACAAATCCAAAGAAGAGTCTGGGAACAGAGGAAGGACTATCGGTTCTTCACAAACTATTTAAACAAAACAAAAAACCCTTTAAATAGATTATCCCAGAAGGTATCTTGACATCATGGAATGAAAAAAGACTAAAAATTGATAACTTAATTAAAGCACAAGACTTCTTTGAACAGTTAGGTGGATCAGAAGAGGAAACTAGAAACGCCAAGTCAAGAAGAAGTACAACAAAGAATTAAAGAAAGAGAGAAAGACCAAGATAAAGAAAGCAGGGGAAAACTACTTATTCGAGAAGAAACAGGAATCAAAACTAGAAGCCAAACAGCAACCAAAACCAATGAGAGATAGAGCCTAGAATAAGGAATAATGGGAAAAGGACTAACACTAATATCTATTAATATCAATGGACTAAATGATTCATCAAAAAGGATAAGAATATTTTTGAAACTAGAGAAACAGAAATTGGACATAATATGTCTTCAAGAGATTCATAAATTACAAGATCAGATATATTTACAAAACAAAAAACTGGAGAAATTATATACACCACTAGCAGAGGGAAAAAAGACAGGAGTAGAATTATACATTAAAGAAGAAATAGAGTCAAAATTGAATTATAATGATACGATTGGAAAAATATTAATTGTAGAGGTGGTTATATCTTGCTGTCTATCTTGCGGCTCATAAAATGGGTCAGATGGAAGGAATCCGCTCTCCAGCTCTTCTCTGTGTCAGTATCAGCTCTAATAGAAACCCAGAAGCAGGTAAATTTGTTCACCCAAGGCAGGGTTTGCAACCACCCACTTCTATTTTTTAAAATTATTTTTGAAGAATGCTTTTGTGGCTACTGAAGGGCCACAAGGCAATTTTCTAAATAAAAATGTTATAATCTTCAGTTTAATAACTAAAGACTAGTTAAGTAATAAAGGTGGGATAAAAATACAGTAAATAAACAAACAAACAATATGCACATCTTGGGATTGCAACAGCAACCAGAACTGCCTGCATTGCTGTTGCTAAGTGATGCAGTCATATGACATTGTACTGGTATTTACAACCGCATCACTTAGCAATGGCAATCCCCATCCTAATTGCTATAACTGAAGCCTACTCTGTGTGTGTGTGTGTGTGTGTGTGTGTATGTATTAGTGTGTTTACTTGTCTCAGCCTCATATCACTCAAAAGCTGATGAAGAACTGACATGGTTTCTCCAGAGTCATATAATATAAAAGAATAAAATTAAATAATGATTTAGTTATGGAACTAACAAAAAAAATCCACTCACATTAAATCCATTGCAGTATCCTGAAACTTGATCATTGGTTTAAAATTGGGTACTCCAGATCTAAAGTTAAGTCTAAACATTAAATGATAAATTCATATTTTGAAACATGAAAATAGCATGTTCTACATAAGGTTTTGAACATACCTGAATTGGAGTCAAACTTAGTTTCAGATCTAAAACAAAACAAAATGAAGACATGATTTGTACAGTCTGTAACTATAAAAAGCTTTTAAGCTCAAAAAACCCTTCACAATAAATCTCAAGCAATAGGCATGAAATCTTTGTTAATACATTTGACCCAATGTATCCTTATTTTCATTCTAGAAATATTGACAAATATTTTCATTTACAAGATTGGTAAAAGCAGCAAGAAACACCCAAGTGAAAAATCCAATGTCAAAATTACAAACGGTACATCTTAAATATTTCAGTTTTAAAACTGTACTAATTTACTTGTGATAAGGATTCCTTTGGAGAACATCATTGGATAGTTATTTTATTTGGTTTTTTTAATCCAACTTATTCTGAAAAAAAGTTTATTTCTTATCACATAGTTGTATATTCAGCTTACTTGTGATTTTCTTTTTACTGAAAAAGAAAAATATATATAAACTTTCTGTTACATGTAGTTTCCTATAGTATTTAAGCATTACACATATTACCAAAAGGAAATATTTAATAGTGAGGAAGAAGGAGAAAGAGGAAAACTAGCCTTCCTGAGAATATCATGTTTCAGATATAGATGAGTAACAGTCCTAAATTCAAATGCCTTTAAAGCTGTCAGATCAGCTATGGGAAAATGTAAGTTGAGTAATTACTTTCAAGATGCTCCTGAAGTGCTGCGAAGCAGAACTAACCAAGTGACAAGGCCTATCTGAACAAGCTGTAAGAAGCATTGTCTAGATCTAATTCTCAAACCAATTAGTGGGCCTGCTCCAGGCAGATTTATATCACAAAATTAAAAACCACTGGGGTATGCCTGTACATGGGACAGAACAGAAGAAAAAAAATACTATTTTATAGTTAAAGCTTCTAACTATAAAGAGCATGTTACTTTAGTATGAGTATTTTCAAAGGAAATACCCCAAAGTCCCTGGGAAATGGCAGATTCTTTCAATCTATACATCCATGTTTGATGTGATTATATAGATTATAAAAAGATAAAATTCTATAAAGAATCATCGTTTCAACCTAATCAGAACATGTTATTTTTTTCATGACATTTCCAGAAAAATCTCATTATGTTCCACAATTCACAAATAGCAAACATTCAACTAGTAACACATTTTAATAATCCTAAATAACAGCAATATAGTAATATAAAATTAATATCCATGACAACTGAATGTCCTTCTCAGTTGAAGGCCTGGTAGTGTTACCATGTTGCTAGAAATGTAATAACATATTAGCATAGAAGTGGTGCATTTTAAATACAAAAATGCATTCAAAGCAAATATGGCAAATGATAATCAGATAGGAAAGGCATGCAGAATCTGGTTCTAGATGGAGAACTAATTAGCTATTGTTACTTATTTGGTTTTCAAACAGTTAAATACAAAAATGCAGTATACTAGTTAATGGCAAAGGAAGAAATAATAAATGATCTTCCAACTCAACTATGAATAATGCACAAAATTATGTCCTTAATGGCAGAGTTCAATTATTATGTATTTGTTGGGATTTATATGATCCCTTTCCTCCAATGATGCAATGCAGGCTATCTCCCTTCATTTTTTCATCACAATTTGCAACTCTCAATTGTGAGATAAATTAGTATAAGAGAATCCCTGTCCACAGCTAATACTGGTGCTCCCACTCATTCTTTCTCATCTTCCCACATCAAACTGATTAATAAACATAGAACATAACATACTACAAACCTGATCTGTATTGTATATTGCATCTTCTCCTCCTGCTTTGTATTCTTTATACCAAGTATACTGTACTTGGCAAAATCACAATTTTATTTTATTTTATTTTATTTTTGAAAACAATTTTATTGGTTTTTAAAGACAAACAAACAAACAAAACATAAAAACATCACAAATTTAGATTCCTGGTAATTTTATGTCCAGACTGTTTAAGGTGCAATAATAGACAATGATCCTCACTACATGTTTTAACACAACATACAGGAAATAATTGTTATGTTGCCCAAACAGAATAATATATTGCTACCCAGAGTCTTAGATGAGTGGAAATCTGGTGAGTCTAGGAATTCAATCATAGAGGTTGAATAAATGGAGGGGGGGATACATCTCTCCCACCACACTATGCGCACAATATTCCAGAACATTTTCTGAGTGTTACACCTCATTTCGAGTTAAATGTCTGAAGATAGCTGTTGGATTAAGAAAAGTTGCCTGTCAATTTAGGTATCTGAAAGATTTCTCCATAACAATGTCAGAGAGATAAAGCTGAATGCTGCTTTAAAATTGAGGAAGGTCAATTTCAAGTATACCTTTTTCAATCAAGTAATGTAAAGCAAAAACATTGTCCACTTTTGAGTATACAATTTGGACCTCAACCACTTCATTGTTGATCAAGCCATCAGATATGATACAGTTAGTTTTAATTGTAATTACAACTAAAGTCTGTACTCTGTATGCTCAACTCTGTAATTAAATAGTAGGTTACTCTTGGTAAAAATTTTCAAGGCATAGATCAGGTTATTTGAGGGACTCCCTATCTCTGATAGTTTCTGCCCTTGACCAAAGCACTCAGAATTCTAAGTCAACATTGCTTAAAAGGACAGATTACATCTACCCACTTTGTAATGATCTAGTAATTACAAAGAATAATGTTTTCCCAAATTAGTCAGATGTCACAAACTGCATTTATTTTCTTCAATCTACTTACTTGAATAAAGGACTTCCACAAACAACACATTTGTATATCCCATGGGCTTTATGGTATGTATATTCTCCTTCAAAGGCACTAAAGCACAAGACAGAAATAATTATTTAGTATGCATAGTTACAAATACATAACTCTATTTTCTTTTGGGCGAGGCAACCTTATGCAAAATGAAAGAGGTAAGAAATAGTCAACTACAGATAGTTCTCAGCTTTCAACTGATATTGGCACTGAATGTCCACTCATAAATTGTTATGATAGTTAAGCTGAGGCACTCACAACCCTGCACCCAATTTTATGATATTTTTGCAGCAGTGGTTAAGTGAAATCATCATGGTCATTAAGGAAACCTATCATTATAAGTGCAAACCCATTCTTCTAATTGGGCAATTTTTGCAGAAACTAGCAGAAAACATCTCATGGCTGCAGGAGGTTATAACTATAAAGATGAGGTGGTTCACAAGCTCTGGAATGCAGTCACGTGACTGTGAGAAGGGGATGTGGCATTATATTTTATGATGGCCAGAAGTGACTTACAAGCCATGAAGCATCCATTCCAGGCTTTTGCATGGTTGTTAAGTGACCAGTCATAAATTAAGGACTATCTATAAAGAAATGTGTTTTATAGTTTTTGCAGATTCTGGGCAGTTTAACTCTGCAAATTTAATCTCAGAATTGCTTCCAATATAGAAATATTGAAATACTTTCGCATTTATAGCCAGAATAAATTGTATAGATACTGATCTGAAACAATTTTCCTAATTTTTTAAAAAATGCTAATATAGATCTAGTGCTACTTATTCCCTAGACTGCTATAATTTCTCCTGGTGCTCCACTCTTAAGACTTCTGGGGATTGAAATTTCTGCTTTCCTGGCTCCAATTCTTCCAACTGTAAGGGGGGGGGGGACATGGAAGACAGACAAAATGAAATTACCTCTTTTAAAAAGCCTGTCTGAAAGGGGAATCTTCTCATTCCCAACTGGCTCTTTAGAACTTGATTTTTCTGAAGCTCTGACTGTCTCTACCTACTACTAGATTTATAGATTAGATTTGACAGCTGAGATATAAATTTCCCTTCACTGTTTCATGTCTGAACCTTTGAGGATGAGATTTCTTTTCATTCACTATATGCTTGTGTTTTAAAGTACTGTATAAACACATATGCTTCCTGGATAAAAGCTGCTTAATGACACAATATTTTCTTCAACACATTTTCAATTAAGTTTTTAAATTGCCGCAGCAAATTTGTTTTTTTAGACCCTAATAATATTTTAGAAACATATTTTATTTACCTTATGTTAAACCAAAGAAAAAATATTTTATTTTGATCATTAACCAGATTTACATAACATAAAAATAAAAGATAAATTAAAAACGGAATTTTAAAAAATGCACGTGGCTAGCACAGATGAAACTGTCTTAGTTCAGGTAACTCACTAAGGCTTTAGAGAAAAGACCATTATACATCATAATTATAACTAGAAAGAGTAAGAGAAGAATTAACCATTTATTCTTATCATTACATTTTGATTCTTTGCTATTTACCTGATACCTTATCAAATACAGTAGCGTAACAATACTTTTCTAAGTTAACCATTTAAAGGGCTAGGAGGTCATTGTTCTAATAAAAATCACCTGTGTTCCTCTAACAAGAAATCTAAGTGCTCTACAGCTTGCTTTTATTATCCTTTCAATTCTTTTTATGGGGTGCCTTTTTATACAGTTGTTTTTAAGTGACCGAATATCTTACTGTTTCATGTACTACATCACTGTGCTAATCTTGCAAACAACAGAAAATGACTTGACTGAAGTCATGGAAAGTGCATGATCAGCAGTCCATGTCTGGAGGCATAAGGAGCTTTAGCACCCAGAGATCTTCATTAAGCAAGCCTAATTAAAAATAAAATATTGTGCAGCGGTACTAAATTGGGTCAAGAATTGGGTTAAATTAAGTGATAAACGGATACTAATGATAGAGGGTCATGACCTCCATGAAGGCTGGCACGCATATTTATGGGAGAAAAAAGGTAAAACACATGCCTATTTCAATAGGCATCTAATAAGAAATTCAATATTACAAACATGGAGAAAAACAAAAAATAAACATTATATGAGAATACCACGCTGGTTGTCAACCATGGAGGCCATGATAAACCCAAATAGACTAGATCTAGGCAAAATGATAAAATATAACGATCTATTAGATGCCCAAGGGAAATTAAAATCAAATCAAGAGTTAAAAGAACAAGGAATTACAATTGATTGGTGGCCATATCTTCAAATTCAAAATAGATATAAAACAGACTCAGAAGAATTTGAATTTGATATGGGGCAAAATCAATTGGACAAGATTTACTTGGAGTGGAACAAACATTTATATCCAAAGTATATAGATACCTTCTAGATTTTAAAATGGAAGAAGAAACACTTAAGAATACGATGGTAGCATGTGCGCGGAATTTCAGTTATAATATAAATTTAGACGAGTGGGAAAAACTATGGAACATAAATTATAAACAAACAACGGCCGCAACATATAAGGAAAATTTATATAAAATGTTTTACCGACGGCATTTAGCCCCAGTAAGATTAGCTAAGATGTACCCGAACTCTAATCCAAAATGCTGGAAATATCAACGAGTTGATGGTACCTTTTATCACATATGATGGCTATGCCCCAAAGCCAAGACCTATTGGACTAAAATTAGAGAATGGACACAAGAAATCACTGGGCACCAAACTGAATTCAAATCGGAACTCTACCTACTTGGGATAATACAAAAACAATATCCAAAAAAGATAAAATATTTAATGTTACATATATTGACAGCAGCCAGAATAGCCTATGCGCAAGTGTGGAAAGAGCATATGGTCCCAACAGAAGAATTAATTTTACAAAAAATAGCAGACTGTGCTGAAATGGATATGCTCACACTAAAAATAAGAGAAAAAGAAGAATCTGACTACTACTCAGTTTGGCATAAATGGTACATGTGGCTAGAAAAGAAAGATGAGAATTAGAAAGGATGACTATAAGAGAATTCTCAAGAGAGTGACACATAATATGTAAATAGGTAGACAAAAAGGTTAAAGATGAATAATAATAGTAATTGTAAATAAAGGTAATATGTATTAATGATATGTACGAATAGATGATGGAAATGTAAGATAATATTATATGTTGATGCAAAAGCTGTTGAAAAATTGAACTAAGATTTGTACTGGTGGAAAACAATAAAAATCTATTGTTAAAAAAATAAAAATAAAATATTGTGAATTAATTGTAAATTAAATATTTAAGCATATTGTTAAGCTTACAGAATCAAAATGATTCAAAACCTTCTTAGCAGAGATATCTATTTCTTATGAATCAAATAGAATAAACTACATTCATTATTTGATCCTTGAAAAAGAACCATCTGCCTTTTTTTCTTTCACTTTACCTTTTTGTCAGAATATAAAAGCTGCTTAATGACGCAATATTTTCTAAGAAAAGAAACTAACAAAAAAGAAATGGAAAAATTGAAATCATACCACATTCTCTTTTCTCTTTCATATTTACTTCAAAAAATTGCTTTAAAGGTTATTTCCATTATAATTCAAATCTCCTTCCCCAAAACAAAAAAAATGACATGTGCTATTTGCACAAATGTAGTAAAGTAAAATAAATATAAAGTGATAATAACCAAGTTACACTGATCAAATTGCTGAACTTCGTGCTACAAATTTTTGGCTTTTTAAACAGAATTATCTGAAACCACTTGAGAGAAAATTACAACATAATGAAAGAGAGAAGAATCATCTTATTTTTTATTACCATCTACCTCCTTGCTATACCTTTCAGTTCCTTTCTCCTGAGTAACATGGTACTGCAAAGGTGTCAGCCGCTTTCTCAGTTCTTCATCAGAAAAAGTCACCTTATAGTTCTTTTTTTCCCTACGTGACCCTGCAAAAAGATAAAATATGGAAAAAGAGTCTTTTCAATTTAAACTCCATAGTCATTGCATGCTAGCCAAATATAGCTTCTATTGTACATTCACTTTTCCAAATAGCTAGATTACATCCTAGTGCATTAGAGAGGTTCAGCGGATTGTTCTATCAAACCCAATTTTTAGAAGATTATTGTACACAAGCAGGTGACTCCATGTGAAAAGAATGTGAGGCAGCCAAAGCTTTCACTATGCATAAAAGTCAACACACGTTTGTGAGATCTGACCGTCACATTATCCTTTGCAGGAAGGTAACATCTGGAGCCTAATATTGTGTTCCTCAGGTCTTCTCAAAAAATACACTTTAGTATTAAAACCCTATAAGACAACTGTAAATAGGTAAAAGGTAAAGGGCATATTACGTTTAACCAGAAGTTGTGATCACTTAAAAATCTTGGAAATGATTGTTAATTATCATTAATTTTGAAGCATATTTTAAAATTATCTTATAGCTGCTGAAAAAATCTAGGGTATTATTCAGATACTTACTTAAACCAGCATCCACTTAAAGCACTTTTTTTTCCAAGTTGAGGGATATATTTTAATTTGAGTGTTGTGTTGTGGGTCATGCTTAAAAAAGTAGACAACTCTTCTAAAGACTGATGGGACTCCAAATTCTTCTTATTGTTCCATATAGTTTATTTATATTAGTTTGTATTTTAATTGTTACCATTTTTATTTAATTATTATGATTATTGTTTATAACTACTGAAGTTTGCTTAATGGCATACAACTCAAATAAATTTGAGGCAACTATTGTGATGGTTACAATATAGGTGCAAAATCAGGGCAAAATCCCTGGATATAAGGGGAATGAATATGATAGCCATGAATTCAGAAAATTCAGCTAAGAAATTAGGAACTTAAAAGACTAAGAATTCTAGAGCTTAGTAAAATGCATGTTGGTTTTAAAGACGAGTTAAAATAAAATGGAATGTAGAAACTTAGGAACATGTGTAATTATCCTTAATAATATAAAAGTATCATTTGTAGAAAAAGCAAATAAACAATTCTACAAATATTATAGTTATATGAAGTATTGAAAAATAAGATTTACAAAATAAAATCTTTTTATCCAATAAAACTGAGAAGCATGAAATAGTTAAAGAATGCCTCGTAATGCCTACAATTTGATTAAATAAGTTTCTTTTAAAAGTTTATTAATTACATATTTACTATATAACAAAATAATATGGAGAGATTTAATGTTGTGAAAGATCTCTCAACACATAGATTAAGAGAATTTGACAGAAGCTTATTGAGTTGACTCCTGATAAGGAACAATTTAAAGATCATATATGCAGGAAGTGAGACTAATACGCATTCCTCTGCTCTACTTCCTCTCCAAGGCACAATCATCTGCATTTCTCAAATCCAATTAAAAATCAAGCAGCAAATAGATAAGGCATATTGTACACAGAGGAGGATTATACATATCTGCTGCTCAGCAGAATATTTTAAGGATGAGCTCTTTCATTTATCTCCAAACATAATGAAAAGAACTAACAGAATGTGAAATTGAAATACTCTATTTTATGCAGCACTCTAGCTGAAATGGAAAAAGACAATATGGAGAATGAACCAAATAACTGATATATAAAAGAGTGCCAACATAGTTTCAAAGTAATATTTATTCCATAGAGGAAGTTATTAAGATAATGGATGAAATTTTTAATATATTTTTTTCTAATACTTAATGGAGGCAGCTACATAGCTAAAAAACTTTAAAAATGAAAATAAAATATTTTCATTCTGCAAAAGTTATCTGTTCTTAGCTTTTCAAATGTGTTCAGCAATACTGCATTTGTTAAGATGTGAATCTTAGATGAATTCATTAATCTTATGGTTTGTGAACAAAAACACTTCCTTATTAAACTTTTTAAGACTGCAATCCTTTACATATTACCTGAAATATAATTCGCTTTGAATTTAGACAGATTACTTCTAAGATTGCTCTTTCATTTTAGACATTTATCTCTCTCATTATTTGATAAATAACAAAATATAGGCTAGTGTGGCAAAGCAATAAGAAGTATGGCTATAGACTTACAAATGTAAACAGATACACACAAATAAATATTGAACATGCTAGTTTCATCATTTCCAAATATTTTAGGCTATAAGTATGTATAGTGAATTTTTCTAAAAGCATTCAGGTGTTTAAGAGATTAAGATCTTAGCTGTTATATTTGGCTTGAACAATTAACATTTTTCAAAATAAACTTTTCTCCCAGTTTTTGAAGAATTTATGCTTGATTACATCTCTACAAAGGGTTTGTTTAGCAAGATATATACCCTTATAAAGAAACCATTGTATTCTCAAAATAGAATGACTAGAGCAATCCATCTGTATGTCATTTAGTACAAGGAGAGAAAGGGCAGGTTTAAATTACATGGTATTGAATTGCAATTTCCTAACATTGAGTGCTTTTCTGCTTTTTTACCCTCAATCATTACTAAGGAGTATTTACAAAAAGTAATTTTAAATTTAAGTAAAGATGTTTCTTTTTTCCTCCTCTTTATACCATGTAAAAAGAAAGTTAGTAAGTGCTGGTCTCTATCAACTAGCCACATTATCTGTACACATACTTTTTAATAGTACAGAACCTTAGCTGTTGGTTGTAAGGTCCTGAAAAGGAACATTTTTATTTCTCAGACGATACATTAGTTTTGATTTAAGCATTCTTTAAAAGTAGTCTTTTTGCTGTAAGGCCTACATTTATTTCTGTAGAACTTATTTTAATGGAAGACTTTGAAGACCACGGCTTGCAAATCAGAAAATTTTTCTACATCCTGGTTTTTGAACCCAAAATATAAATATAATTTCCTAACAGTAAATGAGGTATCTGCTTTATAACATTCATATTATAATATTCATATTATTTTAAGAACTCAAATATTGGAAATTTATATCTTCAAACTATGAAACATTCTTTTATTTGAAAGCAAAAAGGTTAGAAAAGCTATGTTAAAATTCCCACAAATGTTATTATATAAACTTCAGAATTTAAGTCATTATAGTTCATTGATCATATACCAAGTCTATAAAGAGGCTATTTGTTTCATTTTTTTAATTGTCTATTCTACTATTTTAGGACACAAAGCAGAGAAAAATGAATAAATAAAAACACAAAGTCCAATGTAGCATGGGGATATTCTCTTATTTGCTGTGGCAAATAGAATCCACCACTTAACAGACAAAGAATTCAAATGGTAACAGAAGAATACTTTTTTAAAAAAATGCGTACATTTTAGATTATCCTCAAGCTGTGAAACAATTTGCTGCTTTTAATATGACTGAAGGTCAACTAAAAACATTTGTTTTTTCCTCATTTTTTAATTTGTAAACCACTTTTGGAGCCCTTTGGGAAATATGGAAGCTTGTTCTTTGCTAAATTCCTGGGAAAGACAATTTGAAAATTCTTCTTGTCATGTATTCATAATCCTGGGTTTGTATATAGATTTGATTTTGGTCAAATTTAAAAGCCAAGTAAATACGTTAAATAAGGAAAATAGAGTTTCCACAAAAGGTTGAGACTATACTCAAGATTATAAAACTGTAAATAATTACTGCTAAATATTTACTATTGAGAATAAGCCAACACATTCTTCCAAATATATGAGCAGCCTCTGCAACTTAGACTTGTTAACTCATTGAAGAACTCATAAGCACATAAACCTTACAGCTCAAGAGATCAAAACAATGAACTAATTACTGAATCTGCTTTAGTTTGGTTTTTTTTAAAAAGTAATTGAAAATCTCAAGTCACATTTTTGATTTTCATAAAAATATCTGTGTAGGGTTTTTTGGCCACAAAATAGAAGTAATTATCTTTTGCCTTCTAAAGTCCCCCCCCCCCCAATACTCTTACCATCCTATCTGTATCACTTCTATTGACATTTCAGAATTGGGCAAAGATGGATGTATTCAAGAAGGGACAATAGGTACTATAAGAAGTATGGTTTAAAATGTCTTTTTTTCATTCCTGTTAATTTATTGATTTTATTACATTTTTATGGTGCCCATCTCACTTGCTTGGAACTCTAGGGTGGTGTAATAAAACCACAGCTTTCTACTATTAAAAACAATTAAAAAGTAAAAGCTACAACTAAAACACAACAATAAAAAGACAGAGGAGAATACACTCTAACTATATACAGTATACTGTAACCATTTAATAGGCTCTACACTTCCTTGGGGTCCCCAAATCCGATGTTACATCCAAGTTTTGAGGGCCTTCCAGAAGGCCAGTCTCACTGGGGCAGAAGGAGGGAATAATATTCCACTTATTTTGGTTTTATTAGTATTCAATATGATATTGTTGTAACTTCATGAGGTATATTAATAAAATATGAGACATAAACACAATTAATAATAATAAATTTAAAAATAACTAATAGCATATTTTAAAACCATAGATAAGGACACTATATAGATGAAATATAATTAAATTGCATAGGTATAAAATTCAAAATTAAATACATACAATCAAACGATTAACGTGATATGCCCAGTACCTTCCTAGAGACGTACTGCAATTTTAACTGTGAACATCAAGAAATGTTTTACAAACAGCACATAAATATTCCGCCAATTAAATACACAACACTGTATCTAAATATTTATTTAGAATACAATCACTTTGGAGTTAGAAAGCATGTGTGTCTTTCAAAACATATTCAGCATTAATTTAATTAAAATTATGTAACTACTTTTTCCAGGTTTTAAAGGGCGGGAAAAGAAAGCATTCTACTGCATGCAAGAAGTGATGAAAGCAAAGAACAGTGTTAAAAGGGGGGGAAAGTACATCTTTTAGAGATGAATCTGCTCATACAATACAAACTCACAGCAAAGCAAGGTAAGTTTTTCTCCTATATAAATGTGGCACTCTGCTACAGAAAATGTTGGTAGGTTTATTCATAAATTCAAAATTAGTAGATATTTACTGGAAGACAAAATCACAGGAGGTAATATTTGATTTTTACCTTCCAAATTACAAAGTTAACAAACATAAGGAGTCAAAACAATAATGTACTAGTATTGTTAAAACTTATTTTAAAGGTATTTCACTAGTAATGCTACTTATTAATTTGCTGTTTTTCAAGATCTTTAAACCACTAATTAAATTCTCCAGTTACAATACCAAAAAATGTATTCAGGCTTAAAACTTAAACTTAAGATTTGGGTATTACAGAACAGTATTTTGGTAATATATAAAAAAAACCTAATTAGTGCCATCTACTGGAATTTGAGAGCTATTGTCTTTTAAACTGAAATTTTTCTAGCTCATATAGTAGAATAATCTATTCTTATGTAGTCAAATTCCAGCAATTTAAAAAAAAATTTAAAAAAAATAAATACATGACATAAAAATAGTTTGCACTTTAAATAATATCTGGAAGAAAACAAAATGTGTATGGTGAATTTGGGACAAGATAACTGTAATTATATGAAGGTGTTATCTTTTTTTAAAAGGATATACTGTATTATATGTATAATTCTAAAACTATCTAAAAGTATATACATGTATACATTATATTTAAAATGACATGTTTAAATGTATTCTTAATGTTTTAATTCAAAAACTGTAAATGTATAAATAATATATACTGTGCTTACCTAAGTCAATTTCATGACCATGTCATTTATCAGTTCCAGTATCTCTGAGTAATCTGCCTTTATGACTATTTATATTATAAAGGGGAGATGCAGGGTATCCGAGAAGCCAACTCTCCCTAATGGGATAGCCCCATTCCACTTGTGCCAACAGAAGAGGCCCCTCTATGGATGTCTGCTAAGGAATTGAAGCAGGCAGAGTCAAGAAGTCTCTTCCTGTGGCCTAAACACTTGTGAACATTTTACCCCAAGAGGTGAGAATTGCCCCATCTCTTTTGGCATTCTGGAAGAGTATTAAAACCTAACTTTGCCAATTAGTGTGGGGCCCCGAGGGAGCGCTCACTGCTGAAGGTGACTGGCTGATGGGGTAAAAAGACCTCATCCCTGTCCTGATCATCTCTTAGTTCTCTTAATTTCAGTTTTAGTACAGTTTTTAATCATATTTTAATCTGTGTAGATTTTAATGTTTTAATATTTTAATTATTTTTTACTTGTTTTATAACTTATAAGCCACCAAGAGTCGCCTTGCAGGGAAAATGGGCAGCATAAAGATTTGATAAATAAATAAAACAGATGAGAGCTTTTTCTTCTGCTGTGAAGCATGTTGCCTGTTTTCCTTCCACTATTAATCAGCTCTTATATCCATACTTTTATTTGGAACTTCCAACATAATAACATGGTAGAAACGTGTTATTTGCTACTTCACTGGTTGTCCAAGTGGAAATGTTGTCTATATATGTTCACAGGCATGCAAATTGAGGGGAAGCTTCCAAAACCATGACAGGCCTTCCAGAGACTAAGGCTGGATCAGCATTTTGAAGAGTGATTCTTCACATTGCCAATGAATATGTTGAACAACAATATTGTTTATCCTTTTCTTTTGCATTTCAAGGTGGTTTCTGCTTGATTTGCAGAACTAGCAAATACAAAGATAAAGTTATGATAAAAAATTGTGGAAATAAGAGCAAAATAGTGGGCTAAATTAGTACATAATTTAAAAAGCAAATTTCATTAGCAACAGCTTATAAGAACTTTGCATTCAATTGACGTATTATTATTCTTAAAATGGCACTGAATGTTTCCTAAGATCAAACATATTGCCCCTCACCAGATTATAGTACCCCTTGATAAAAATATAGTGCTAAACTATTTAAGACTACTGTTACATTTAGAGAAAGCAAAGTGCCTATTTATTTATGAACTAAAAATACAATCAAATTTATCAAACCTTATGTAGAAGCTAAAATGGTAAGCCTTGTTACCAATTATTGTTAAAAAAAGCAGTGACATACAATATAGTGTGAAAGACTTTCAGCTTAGTTAGCTTTAAAAAGCTGATTCCTTAGCAAACCACAGCCTATTATTTCCTGTAGCAGAGATGCCTACTCTAGTAGAAAGAACCTCCATATGCATAACCACAAGTAGCACCCAGTCAACCTGAGGGAAGCCCACAGGCTTGCAGGGCCACTGGCTGGCTCTTTGTCACCAAATGCAGTAGGTTGAATGCAGACATCACTGTAATATCGTCACCAACACAACCAGAGGCAAAGAACAGGGGCAAGAGCTGAGTAAGGGAAAAAAAAAGATGAAAATGAAATTAAAACTTCAAAAAATTAGATACATTCATAGCAAAAATGATGACTTTTTTTCTGAAAAGAAACATACAACATATAATACAAATACACATGTATTAAATGAGTTTCTCTCATTCCTTGCACAACAATCTAGCAATTATTCCCAAGAAATAAAGCAACTTACAAACATATATACACAACAATTTTAAGAAAATGATTTGAAAATGATCACATAAAAATTTCAGAAAGAAACATGGTATTTTGTTCACTTATTATTTTAGTTTGCATTTAAGTTCTAAAAGTTTTAAAAATAAGGAACTTACTATTACACAAACAATTATTACCTTAAAATAGTTGAATTTTTAATAATACCCTCTATAATTATGCATGCAGCAAGACCTTTCTTTGGAAATGAAAAAGAACTCCACGTGCATTAGACTGAACTCCTCAGAATGGACAAAATGAATCTAAGGAAAGTTATATGAGAGGCCCATATTAAAGCTGTTCTACATAATAACCACTTGCTGAGTTACATATTTTTAAAACAATTTCTAATGAAAGCAGCAGAACTCATCAGAAACATCTAGTGCAGAGTTCCCCAACCTTTTGGGGTTCATGGCCCAGGGAGGAAAGAGGTGATGATTTGTGAGAGAAGCAACTGCATGTGTGGGAGGGGCAAGTGCATGTGTGGGAAGGGCAAATGCAGTGCCTGTGATGTTTGCAGCAACTTGTGTAAATGGGACTGCGAGCACCCATGAGGAAGTGCGTGCGAACAGGGCTGTGTGTGCACCTGCAATGAAGCTTGTGCAAATGGGGCTGTGAGTGTACTTGGGGGCACGTGCACCAGCCGGGCACTTATGTGACCCAGTGGCAATTAGCCAGTGGCCCACAGGTTGGGGATCCCTGATGTAATGGACAAGTACATTGTGTAAGAATCATACACAATTTCTTGTGCTGTACTCATGTACTTTAATGTTTGTTCAGATTAGAATGCATTACAAAGTTTCAAATATATTTATATCAAAAACTGATAATTATTGTTTGGAAGTGCTATCTATTTCTCTTGGATAATTGATCAAACCAGATAAGTACAGAAATATGATTTGTAGGCCTGTAAACAGCAAAGCTGTTATAAACCAACAATATATCAAGAGAGTGACCTGAATGATTTTTTAGACTGGATTTACAAAAGAGGCTTGCTAAAGTTTTGAGGAATATTGCATGAATGGACAAAGAAGAAATGAATCAAATCTACAGGATTGTTTAAATAGACTCAAGAGTAACACTTATTAGAACTAAAAGGAAGGAATATAAAATTGGTTTATTTGATCAAGGTTAAGATATTTTATTTCTGGTAAACTTCAATGGGCTTTCATTGCATTAAACTATTACAGAGTGAAGAGATACTAAAATTGTCTATACTTGTGATGAACTCAAATGTCTATATATTTACTTTGTTTCCTTGCTATATTCTTACTTTTCTTACTCTTTTCTTTCTGTGCATTAACAGATAATCCAAAATCTTCCATTATCAAGCTGTGATTGATGAGGGATCAGCAGCTGCCTTGTTACCAGCTAGGCAGCTAACTTTTTTTTACCTTGCATTTGTACTGTTCTGTGAGCTGAGTATCTTCACCTTGAACTTGCTATAACAACGATCAGCCTTAGACTGTTAAAAAAAATCACTAGAATAATATCAGTAAACGCCAATAATAGCAGATCACATTCCAACTGTAGTTCATCTGCCCATAGGTGTCAGCAACAAAGCAGGATAGGTTATACCTGGCATGACATCAGAGCACAAACCCCTCCTTTCTGTGTCTGCAATATGATACTGATGAAAGGCAATTCATAGTGATATCACTGTGTGTCCACATATATTTTGTAAGCACATCTTGTTGGGCCAGTCCAACCAGTTTGTTTTCTGTTGGCAACTGTCTCTGACTGGCTGTGAGCAGACTAGTTCAAGCTGCTGGAATCTGTTTTTGCTGGCAAGGTATAATTAAAGCATTATTTTATTTACTTATTTTGCTGCTCTCTGTTTGGACTATTTAAAAATTTCCTGGAAATCAATATATTGATTATAGTACAGAAGCCTAGGCTTCTACCATAAGTTGTTCGGAAGTGTACTTAAAAACTTCTGGACAAGATTTCTGGGAAGAAACAGCAAGAATATGTTGCATAGATGGTCTTCTGATTATACACCCTTAGGTCCAAATCTCTGTACTAGATGGATATGTACAGCGCTATCCCCATCCCTCAATTTGTTTCCTGCTATATTTTTTTCATTATATCTTGAATTACTAATTTGCTTTAGAGTGTATCTTAATAAATACTACTTGGATTAAATTATTTCAAAGGACAGGTGCCAAATGTTTATAAAAGCAGAAGTGGAGACAATAATGAGCAAGAAAAGATGTAATTTGCATGAATGACTGCATAATGATTTTGTTTTCTAATCATGCACAGAGACCATTCTCTTGGAGAAGGCAATCAACTAATAAAAGAGGCATACACATTCCAAGCAAGCAAATGAAAATGTATGTTCACTTTGAGAAAGAGAAGTGTGCAGTGAAAATGTAATTACCTAGCAAAGCTGTAGTTTTACTGGGGTCCAGCAGCTGATCATAAAAGGTCTTCCTATTCTGTTTCATCAACTGTAGCATCAGGCAGCCTGCACGCCTACCAACTGCAGCCATCTGTCTTGTGTCAAAGCCTATGACTCAAGCAACTACAGTGCAACAGGGAGAAAGGCAGTGATATCACTCTTCAGGTCAGGCAAAAAACAAGGATGAATTCTACCTCTAAAAAGCTGGGTGCCCCAGGAAGAGAATTTCTAGAACACTTTAACTTAGCAATTTATGACTAAAGATGTTCTCTCCATTAAATGAGGAACAGACCATCCCCTAGTGGTTAGCAGGCAAAAAAGTGCAAACAGCAAGCTTGTGTTGCTAAAGCTAGATAAAATAGCTTTTGCAAGTTAATGCAAAACAAAGAATAAAATGTTGATTGACTTGCCCATGGGGAAAACAATTAAATGTTTCAAAAGTAGAATACATCCTGTGATGAAAGATAATTGAACATTTTAATAACGTAATACCACTTCAGATTGTACTTGGATGAGAATGTTTTAAATCCTTCCCCACCTAAAAATAATCCCACACCTAGTTTTAAAACAGATTAGTTGCTCTGTGCTGCACTGTTATAGGCAACTACTACTACTGCAAGAAAAAAAATCAGAAGTCTGATAGCACCTTTTCAACTAACAAATTTTGTTAAAAGTCATAAACTTTCATGAACTGCCTCATTTTATCAAATGCATGTGTTGCATAGTTTATAAATTAATTTTCCCTCATGAAAGCTTATGTGTTTTAGCAAAATTTCTTAGTCTGACAAGCTACACCAGACCTGATATTCTGCCACATTGTCTAACAGAGTTTTCTAAAATTTTCAGAAGATAACCAGATACCGGGAGACATTCGAAAAGGATTCTCTCAGATTCTAACCATTCTTCAGCATAAAGTTATACCAGTGAAACTTAAAATAAGATTATGACCTACACTTTTTAATTTCTTAATGTTTTCTTACAATCAACCTTAATGATTTAATTTGAAGGCAAGCTATACATTATAATGCATTTAGCCAATCACAGGAGCTGGGATGGGCGTGGCCTGCACATGACCCATTTGGCTCACAGGCTGCCAGTTTGACACACCTGATTTAGAACAGGCTGGATAGGGAATTCTGGGAATTGAAGTCCACACATCTTAAAGTTGCCATGTTTGAAAAAATGCATATTTATAACATGTAATACTGTCAGGATTCCCTTGAGTAAAGACTTTACTGGCAGATATAAGGAATATAAAATTATTTATCCCCTTGTAAAGCAATTTATGATTACAAGTTAAAACAGTATAATTTGGCACATAAACACATGAAACAGCTAAAAACAAGACAATTAAAGCAACACAGTAAAAAAAGACGGGAAAAAGGCTCCCATAACATAGAATTCCTATCACTAGAGGGAAACAGTCACTCTTAAATGTTGTCCAAATGATGACTTATATGGCATGTCTTAAGATCGCCTCTTTCTCAATTCCTGCCACTGTACACAAATAAAAGTTTATCAAAATTATCTCAGGAACAGGCAACAGCTGACAAACTACAGCTTACAAGTACAAGTACCAGTAGTCCTCAACTTATCACTGTAATGAACTCATAATTTTGGTCGTAAGTCATGATGGTCGTAAAGCCAGTCACTTTGTGATCATGCTTGAATTTAGTTTTTTGTGGTAGTCGTTAAGCAAACATTGCAGTTATTAAGTGCCACAGGCTATTAAGCGAACCCATTGGCCGGAAACCAGAAATAAATACAATTTCTGGCAAAAACTGCAAATAACCCTAAATACGGGTTGGTTATCAAGGGTTAAAAATGGGGAGAGCACATATCATAACTTCAAATCCTTAAAAGCCAATTTCAATATTTTTAACTTACAGAATTTTAAATTGCTAGGATTTTTTTGAGATTTTTTTGAGATTTGATATAAAATTTGGAGCATTTTTATTATTACATTTAAAAAAAAAATAGCAATTACACTGTGGAGTGAAATTGTACAATGATGCATAACCACCTTTCCTAATATTCTGAGATTTCTAATAGCCTGAAAACCTGAAAACGAAGTATTTTTAAATGTCCTTTTCTTTATGCATTCCAACAGCAAAAAGAGATCATTTCTGAATCGAGATAGTCTGGTTATCTGACTGAAAGGCCCTCTTTGGCATCAAAGTGCTGACACTAACTTTGCAAAGACTTGGGAAGATGATCAAGTTTTACATATATCAGCTTCAAAATGGTAACTTTGGTAATTTTCTAGTAGAAGTTATGTGGTTGGATTGTTTTGAGGAAGGGTAAACTTTTCTCTTTTGAGATTATCTTGGGTCACATTGACAAACAGAATAATACACTTGGCTCTGTTATTATATTCAAGTACAAAAACCTAATAATAAGGAAAAGCTAATGGCAGTACTTTACTGAGCTACCTACAGAGGATTTAATATACTATATATCTGACTAGAAAAAAATCATTCTGCAAGAAAATAGTAAAACTTTTGTTTGAAACTTTTAAAACTGCCTTGTGTGTTCCGACCTGCATTCACTTTCAACATTCACTCATTCCATCAAAGGATAAAAGCTGACATATTGTCTGTTCTTGGCAGAGTTACAGAAAGCCTTATCTCAACCAACAGCTGGAATTGGTACTGTGTGTCTGGATAACTGTAACCTAAGAATAATAAATACCGTTAGAAGATCAAGCAGTGCTTTAAAAACTTACAAAATGATTTAGTTATAACTTATCACTTGTATTTCATATGGCTAATAAAATACATTTCTTCCTTCTATAAAAGGCAGAATTGATATTCAGCAGGTTCTGACCAGTTCTGGAGAACCAGTAGCGGAAATTTTGAGTAGTTCAGAGAACTGGCAAATACCACCTCTGACTGGAGATTTTACAGTATCCTTCCCCTGCAACACCCACCAAGCCACACCCACAGAACCGGTAGTAAAAAAAATTGAATCCCACCACTAATAAAAGGGTAGTAAAGGCAGAAAGCACATAGGCAGTCAGATGATTAAAAAAATCTTTGATTTAGAGTAAAATTTAATGCAGGAGATATCAAAGAATTACCTTCTTTCGCATCCCCCACATTAAATTAATTAAATAAAGACCCAATATGGTTACAAGGTCAAATGTATTTTCTTAAGCTCCATGTTGGATACCTAACATCATTGGCATCTCCTGCATTAAGCCTATTCTAAATCAGAGATTTTTTTAATGAACTATATACCAAATCATGTGCAATTCTTGCCATACAACTGTGTCAGTTGTAAAGAAAACAAAAAATATGGTAATTATAAATAAAACTCAAAAATAATAATAAAAAACCAAAGATAACACCACCACCACAGATAGCCAGCTGCAGTCCAAAAAACATTAAACAATTTCAAGCTCTTTATTGTGGAATTGTAGCAGGATGGGGATTTCATGTACTTCTGGAAGTAGAGCATTCCATTAAGTCGGGACTATTACAAAGAAGGGCTACTTTCTCATACCTTACTATATCCTGTTTTCAACAGACTCCAAGATTGGCAGATTTAATAATATCAAGTGGTGTGGCCTGATGTAAATAGCCATGTACACAAACATTGTTTCCCATGCAGGACAGTAACTTATTTATCTTTTATCCAAGATGGAGTCAAAGAACAATTTATAGTTACAATTCCAAAATGCTAAATTGGGATTTCAGGCATTAACAGCAGATTTCTGTTGCTGATGATGGATGCCATGGTTCTCTCCCCAAAAGAGGAGCAGAAAGAAGAGTAGAGACATTTATGGGCTGGATGCTGATAAACAAGTCAGATCACAGAAATAGCTCTTTCACTGCTCTGAGCACCAAAGCAATGCCCAACTGAATATTTTTAGACAGTGCAAACTAGTAACTTGGAAAGCCCATTGCTTTTCATATAGATGGCACAATGGGAGGGGTCACCCTTGCCAAGCAAGTTTTCTATTTATCACCTGCTTTTCACACTCAGTCCATGAACAAATTATCTGTCCAATAGCAACTGTTATAACTCAATTTAACTAAAATATTCTTGTATTTTTAATTAAACAAGTGGTTAGTTTTCTGCTTGGCAGAAGAAATATGGGTAGAACACTACAAGATTTGAAATAAAGGAAAAACTAAAATAACAAACAAACAAAATTTATTTATAAATAATAAATAAGATCTTAGGTTTAGCAGTTTGGAGAAACCAGTAGTAGAAAGAAGGCATATTTCCAAATGTTCCTGGTTAATTTATCGTATACAAGTGTTGGCTGCCATAAAACTCTGCATTTATAACTATGATCTTCACCTCTGAACAGGAAAAATAAATAGCTTTGCATTGGTTTGTCAGTTTAGAGCCATGAGGGCGAACCTATGGCACGCGAGCCCCAGCCAAACTTGCCTGCACTGCGCATGCGTGCACCTCCCAGCTGATTTTCGGCCCGTTTGAGGCCTTTTTCGCCCTCCCAGAGGCTCGAGGGAAGCCTCTGCAGCCTCAGGAGGCCGAGAAACAGGCCTTCCAGAAATACCAGAAGTGTCCATTTTCAGCCTCAGGAGGGCCTCTGGAGCCCGGAGGAGGCTGTTTTTGGGGCTCCTGGGGGCTCGAGGGAAGCTTCTGGAACCTTTGGAGGCTGAAAAACGGGCCCGTTTTGGTGCTTCCGGTATTAATATGGGCTGAAAATCAGCTGGGAGGCACGCACATGCACAGTTCAAGTAAAGGGGGGGTGTTGTGCGTGCATGCGCTGGGGGTGTGGGGCGCATTGCATTGTGGGTGCCAACATATGCGTGCTTTCGGCACACCACAGCAAAAAGGTTTGCCATCACTGGTTTAGAGCAAAAAACATAACACAATCTTTTTCTTCAGACCCAAGGGAAAAAACGTATCTTTAGAACTTAACACTGAATATGGTGTTTGAAGAACAGATAAAAACAAATCTAGTACTCTCTTAAAAATTAATTATAACGTAAATCTGTGTTGGAAGAATATGTTATTTCCCCTATTTTCCAAACTTTAATTGATTTTGATATGTGATAGTGTAAGCTGCCTAGTGAGATTGGTGGCATATAACTTTAATAAATATTAAATTACCCAATTATCAAAAGCCTTTATATTTTTATGGGATGGGGAATATAATTCAATAAAAGATAATAAGATTTTAAAAATAACATGAGAATGTTTTGCTTAAACTATCAAGCATCAAAGAGCATTTCTGGAACTCCTTTCTTCCAAATACATTGGAACAGCCTGACATAATTATAAAAAATATTTTTCAAAAGCAAACTCAGTTTGCATAGGAGTCTTAAATCAAAAGATAAGCAAAACTGTCTTTGAAATCACTTGGCTCTCTTCCTCTTCAATCTTGATTTCTTTAAAAAAATATTTGAGTTTTAAAAAATAGAAAGTTGGCATGCTGCAATAATGCATGTTGTCCTTGCAAAGATCCATTGACACTCCACAGAACAGCCTGAGAAAATGGAATTCTAGAAATCAGTTGCTTTGAAATTGATCATGCTCACCATGACATTCACATGGTAAATATACTTTCTATGGCTATTTGAATATTTATAAAATATCAAATAGGGTCCTGGCCCAAAACATTTGCCTAATCCTGTAATAAGACATCATGTGGCTTGTTTGGTTTCATGATACCACATTAAATTAATCTATTATTGTTTGTAAATCATGATTTGTGTTGCACAAACCCAGTCAATTGTGGTTTATCCAGCAAAATATGGCTATAAACAATCTACTCGTTATAGACTATTATCTCTGGTAAACCTAAAGTGTCAGAAGAAAACATGATCAATATGAGAATTGGAAAGCAATATATATATAATGTGGTCCAACCACATTAAATGTATTTAGATTATATTAAAGGTTGATTGAGATAAAAATCCCCTTTGTTAACTTGCATTAACTGGAGAACCCTGAGAAAAAAATTTGTTAACTCTAAAACAGTTACTCTAATCTCTAATCCCTACAGACAAGCAAAAATTTCTGGATTAATAACAAACTTTTGCTGCATATTAATGTAATGGAAACAATAGCACACTAGTTGGAACACACCCTCATCACATCTCCAAACCTGGCAAATTGTCAGGGGCCTTATTTCTGTATGTCAAATGCTAATACTTCCTATGAACCTTTAAGGAGATTATTCGCTTTAAAAGTGATGCAACATCTCCAATCCCATTCAGAAGAAAGTGATTTTTAAAAAGAAAAAAGAAAAAAAAGGAGGGCTGACTTCCCAACTAATTTAGAAAAAAAAAATCTTCAAGAACTCCTTCCCACATTCCCAACCTGAATATAAAAAACAGCCAAAATTCCTACTTTGGTTACATATTGAACGCTATCACATAATATCTGTATTTAGTTACAGCCATCACCCAGACGGATTCAGCCTAATCCTGAACAGATACTCTTGGTTTGATTACATACATTCAAAATACAGGTTTATATCATCCCAATCTTATCCTTGTCTAATCAGAAGTATGTCCTGTGGATATTGACAGGGTTTTCGGAAGCAAGTGGAGTCAGGGTAATAAGGAAGAAAGGTGTCCTTAAATTAAACCATGCTTAAAACAGTTTATTGTGGATTATTCGACTTCGCTGGACACGAATGACAAGGTAGTTTATGATGACTACAACTTTAGATGGAACTATCTGGATAGTCAACCTTACTTAATTCTACCAGAGTTAGTTAAGGAAAGCTATCGCTGCTGGACTGGAATACGTGTCTCACGGCAGTAGGACCCCTCCACCTTTTTTCTTCCTTGCTCATCCCCGCTACAAAGCGCCTCCAGCAAGCCATCGCCCTTTAATTTTCAACTCACCGCAGGCCGGATCGAATAATCTAGAAATCCGAATAGAGAGACGAGAGGGTAACCTTGCCTTTGCGAGGGGCTACGGCTCCCTTACCTGGTATCTGCGTAAGAGTCGCTGCCGCCGCCGCCGCCAAGCAAAATAAATTCAGGAGTAAGGGAAGCTCGGCACGCATGGAGAGGCGAGGCAGAAAAATAAAGCAGCAGAGCCTTGGCAGGAGAAAAGGTAGCTACTGTTTCCGCAGCCGCCTCGGGCCAAAGGCGTCCTCCACCCCCCACCCCCACGGTCCAGCTAAAGTCCAGGCCAAGCAGCCTCTCCAAAAGGCATGACGGGAAATTCCTTGGGCGCCAGCAGCTCAATCAGCTCCAAATATGAGCATAGAGCCGAAAGAGACCGCTACCGTCCCAGGGCGGGGGCGGAAGGGAAACCGGGGGGGGGGGGGGTTGCACGTGTTTTTAGGGCTTTAAAAGTCGATGTCGGCCAGCAAAACTTTACTTTGGTTTTTTGTTTTGACTTCATTTGCAACTGAGAATCCATAGAACCCTATAGAAATTTATAAAGAACTTTAATAAAATCATTTTTTTTTCTCCTCTAAGTTTGGTCCAGTCCAGGTATGACTCCATCTAAATGTAACATACGAATTCCTGATACTTTGCCAATATCTGACCATTTAATTCAGAGATGTTTCCAGTTCAGTGGCATGACACAGGAAGCAATACAAGTAGTCCTTAACTTACAACAGTTCCTTTAGTAAAAGTTGTTACAATGGCACTGAAAAATGTAACTTATGACCATTTTTTAGTTTTTTGCAGCATTCTCATGATTGTGGCAACTGGTTTATATTTATGACCATTGCTGTGTTCCAAGGTCATGTGATTGCTTTATGCAATCTAACAAGTAGTGAGGAAGCTAGATGCACTTTTAACCATGTTACTAATCAACTGCAGTGATTCACTTAACTCTAGCAAGAAAGGTCGTAAAATGGGGCAAAATTCACTTAACTCTCTCAAAATCAGAAATTTTGAGCTCATTTGTGATCTTTAGTCAAGGACTACCTATAATCACATCATACTGGGCTACACTTTTATTCAATTCATGAGGGGGGGTTCTAATACAGTGATAAATCATAACCAGTTGGCAGGTTTGTGATTATACAAGATTTAAGGGCAAAGCCATAAATACTTGTTTCTTTTAAAAGCAGGAGCTTCTGCAATTTAAATATTTGATTTTAATTAATTTTACATTAAACTGATGTTTTTCTTCTGATCCTATATCCTTGAGATTATCTCCCAACATATCACAGCTTAATTGCAATATAGTCCATACTCAAATATCCCTAGTTTAAAACAAAGCAAAAAGTCTCAATTCCTGATTTTTCCCCACAATATCCAAGTGCTTTGTCGTTGCATTCTCTTTCTTTTTCAATGTCCCATTCTAGCAGTCAGTTCTGGAATTTCTTACTAACCTCTCACTCGTCTCATTCAAGCCGCTATCAGCTTTTTATACATGATCAGGGTGAATTAAATGCCACCAGCTATTGTAAAAAGAGAAAAATAAGCCAGCCTTCATTGGAGTTCTATCAGTGTTTTCAAGATAAAACCTTATAAAACAGCAATACCTCTTGGATCCAGCCACTCTAGATGGCTGCACACCTCCAATAAAAGTTTCACATGGAAGAAATTATCCTTCTGATATTCTAGTTCCAGACCATTTTAAGGCTTGTTAGGTTGATTACTAAACATGAGTAATCAGCTAGAAACAAATGGAAAATATGTCCAGGAAATGATTCAAGAATTGGAATGTTTGGAACTTGATGAAAGAGAATGGATTCTCAATCCCTAACAAAGTAACTCAGGGGTGTCAAACTGGATTTCTTCAAGGGCTGGATCAGCATTGTAGTTCTCTGTGGGCCACCGACAGGGGGTGGGGGCAGCAGGAGGGCCAGGATGGATGCTTCCTGCAGCACCCTGCTGGCAAAAACAGGGTGTGGGGGTCCACACATGGCCCCCCTGCACCTTGTTTTCACTGTTCTGCAGCACTCTGCCAGCTGTTTTCAGCCCATTTTCCGGGTAGATTTTTGGCCCTTTTTCGGCCTGTTTTTGAGCCCCTTTTCAGCCCATTTTGGCCTGTTTTGGGGGGGCATTTTCAGGCCCCTTTGGAGCTGTTTTGGGGGTGTTTTGGGCCTGTTTTTTTTGGCCAGCAGAGTGCTGGAAGCCATGGAGGGTGAAAATGAGGCATGGGGGGGCTGCACACAGCCCATTTTAGCCTCCAGAGGCACCGTGAGCCAGTCCTATGTGACAATATTGCAGCCCTGTGGGCCAGATTTAAATACCCCGCATGCCGGATCCAGCCTGTGGGCCTTGATTTTGACAGCCCTGATCGAACTTAATCCTAGAAGTCCTAAAACATTCAGTGTTGAAGACCAGTGAATTTCCGGAAGGTTGAACAATGTTATGATTACAGCATAGACCTTGAGAGCCATCTATTCAATTCTCATTATAAAAGAACTATGAAGGATCTTTCAAAACCAAAATCAGATTTTAAACCAGTTTCAAAGGTTGTTACTACGGATGTCTTTAAATTGACCTCTCATAAATATATAATACATAATTTTAACTTCCATCGTCCAATTCAGTCTATTAACTTTTATAAACCTGATTGGACTTGTATGCAGTAAGTCATTGACATCATCCTTTCAACATATCTGTCCACTTCCTTCACTGTAGGAAATCTAGAAAAAAAAATCTGTTGAGAATATTTCATACGAGAAATTCCAAAATTAGCATGGATAGAAATCTTATAAACATCTTGCAACGTATTTTTACATCTAAAAACTATACTAATTTCTGCAAATTAAGAATAGGTTACAGTAATAGCACTTAGATGTATACACCACTTCATAGCGCTTTACAGCCCTCTCTTAAGCAGTTTACAGAGTAGGCATATTGCCTCCAACAATCTGGGTCCTTATGTGATCTTAAAGGTACCAACTTGAGATTCTCTCACATTATTCTACTTTTCAGAACGGTCTAGTAGTAATTAGAAGTTCCAAAGGTGTTTTCTTCAAGAGGCAACTGGACTTTCTGGTTTTTCTTTGAAGACGTTTCACTTCTCATCCAAGAAGTTTCTGAAGCTTCTTGGATGAGAAGCGAAACATCTTCAAAGAAAAACCAGAAAGTTCAGTTGCCTCTTGAAAAAACACCTTTGGGACCACTATGACCTGGATGACTGAGAATCTCCATAGGCATTTAATTAGAAAATATAATCAACAGAGTAGCTGTTCATACTTAAAATACACATGATAAAATGTAGTTGTTTTTTGTTTTTTAACAATCATCCAATGTTGTGCTCCCAACCAGTGCAAGTGTTAAAGAAATCTATTTTAACTATTATTCCCCGATGTTAAAAGACCTAAAGAACTGACACGGGTGTAAAAAGCCCTAATAAATCTTTAATTGATTTTGTTTTGCTTTTATGTTTTTACAGGACAAATTACAAACATCTGACTTTCTGAAGTGTCCATGGTATTATACACATTTCCATCTGTCTTGCAGGGAGGAAAACTGGTCAACATTTTAAAGGTAAAATAGGCTACATAATGGTACAGTTTACTATAACAAATGTACAGGGTTTACACATAGTTTAGAAGATGCATCTGCATCAAAAGGCAACGTTTTAAACTGCCACAATTTAATTTTACATTCATACTTGCAATAGATCACAAAATGGTTACTAAGATCAGAACAATAAACCACTATGATGCACCAATACAGCAAAACCAGATTATATACACATAAATACATATATATGTATATTATACATATTTGTATATGTATATAGTAAGTTTCATGAAAAACCTAACAGACCTGTCAAACTCTACTCTCTTGTTAAAAATATGTACTTGTTTTTTGAGAGTAGAACTTTGTGTGGCTGATTATATTACATATATTTGTTAGCATTCTAGACAAAACCCGACCAATTTTTTTTTCCAGATAAGAAACAGTCCATTATTAAATATGTTGCCCACAAAAAAAGCACAATGATAAGGCACAGTAGGATTTTTCATTACACAAGTGTGTGTCATGTTCATTTATCCATAAGAAAACGTGCATTATTTGTGCAAGTTCATGCTGCAAGGTCATATCTACAATAAAAACTGGACTATGTTTTTAAAAAAATGGTTTTCCATCCCTTTACCTCTATAATATTCAACTGGATCAACACATTATGTTGCTTCAACAGGAATTACTATATCAAATTATTTTATATTTTCAGATTAAGTTTCAAAATGTTTTGTATTTTTTTGTAATTTTAAAGGTGTAAACAATGCACACATTTAATTTAATATAGAACATATAAAAATCTGTATGTACTGCATTTCTACACTCTATCAAGAATTTATTTTCAATATGTGCATTTTTTTATTTGTGCACATTTAGGTAGCAAATTTTAATGGAAAATATACTCTCCATTAGTACATTGTAAGAGATTTTCTTTTGTAGTAAATAACTTTTCACAAAGTGAGTACCTGCCAATTACTTCTTTATTGCTCACATGATTTTGAATCCATTATCACAGTAACAATATTAGACCATTCACACAAAAATCATAACCTTATATTTTAATATAAAACCTACAAAAGATATTTAACTTGTATCTAATACTTCAAGGTATTTGGCCCTTGGATAATAATACAGCCAAATTAAATAAAACATTGGTTATGAATAAAATAGGAAGCTTATTCACTGCTTTGAAGTAGACATCCTCACAAGTTACTTGCTGGTGCTGCCACCACCAATGTTTATATACAAAACCAGCACATCTGCATTCAGTTGTTTTCTGCTCTAAAACTAATAAAGCCAGCATTCTTCCCATCCCCAGACTGACACAAATAAAGGTTTACAGCAACAAAAAGTAATTACTGGACAGAAATTAACACATCTATTCATCTTCCATCAGAAATTGTAGGTGGCTTTTGTTACAAAATACCCATAAGATTATTTCACAGGAAACTATGGAAATACAGTTTATCTCCATGCTTTTGGACTGTTATCATACACTTGTTGGTGCAAAAGTTCAGCCACATCTGAGAATGCTTAATAAACTCAACATTTGTCATGCAAAACATAGTATGTTGATTTTCTTGGACTCTAAAACATTTTATAGCCAATGCTCTTTTAATTCAGTACTACCCATTACTCAGACATTCTAAAAAATGAGACTGAAAAATGATTAATGTAATTGTTAACATACAAAAAGTAGTAAAAGTGGAAGACAAGGCCAGTCAGGAAAAACT